TTTAATTTGGATCCGCGCGCTGAACAGGAGATTGAACTCAGAGGCTAAACCGCTCCTTCCAACTCTTGTTATTTGAACTGCATGTAAAAACTCCAGACAGAATTCTGCCTTTGGATCAAACAGGCATTCTACCTGTGCTGCTTTTACTAGTATAAATAAGAACCTTCACAACATTTAATCGCTTTCTGCTGTGATCAATCTGGGCTTCCAACCAAACTTCCAGCCTAAGGCAAAGACAAATTGACATTCCCTCCCTCATTCTACGTATGGAAGCTGATTAGAGAATCGAGACTGGCAGGATGTCATGTAATTGTCAGTCTTTCCCCACTCAAAAAAAAAAAATAATAATTAGGGGGAATAGCTAGAAGTTAGAGCCAAAGGACTGCCTCTGCTAGCACCTGCTACCTAATGGTGGTGCTTCATTTATTGGTCTTGCTGGCCAATAAATTTAAGATGGAAGTCTGCTAGGCAGAGAGTAGTAGGCTTGGTACTTTGGGCAGAGAAGCGCCAGGAAGAGACTTAAGCGTAACCCTCGCAGTGTTCTTAATGCAATCCTTCACCATTTCTGTCCTTTATTTTCTTGGGGGAAAAGACTAAGCTTGGGGCAAAAGGCTCAACTTGAGAAGTGTATTTTGTTGGAGCTAAATTTCAATCGTCTCTGCAATGAACAGTTTCAGTAGACCCTGAAAGAAACACAGTGCAGAGCAAGACAGGTAACCTTGGGAGGTAGAAGGACTGAGGACTGTCTTTTTATCTTTTCCAAAAGACTATGGGACAAGATAATGACATAGTGGGTGTCTCTGATTTTATTTTTCTCCTTCAGAGGTGATTTTACTTCTATAGGTTTTACTGTCAAAAGTCTTTATCCAGATTCTTGTAGAGATATACCATACTTTCCAGAGTATAAGACGCACTTCCCCCCCCCCCAAAAAAAGTGGGTGAAAATTGCAGTGCGTCTTATACACCAAATGTTAACGAAGCCCCACCCACCCGCTGGCCACCGTTTGGCCGTTTTCAGCCTCCGCACACCGTTTTAGACCCGTTCCAGGCTGCGGGGATCGCCATAGCACATCGCCACCAATCGCCGCCTCTATGCGCCGTGTTTTCAGCCTCCGCACACCCAGTTTTTGGCCTCCATGCGTCACATTTTCAGCTGGTTCCAGACCGTGGGGATTCCCCACGGCCTGGAACCAGCCAAAAATGCAACACATGGAGGCCAAAAACAGGGGGTGGGGAGGCTGAAAATGTGCAGAGGCCGAAAATGCAACGCACGGAGTCGGTGATCCATGGTGATGTGCTGTGGCGATCCCTGCAGCTTGGAATAAGTTTAAAATGGAGCATGTGAAGGCCAAAAACGCAATGCGCAGAGACCAAAAACGCAACGCAGAGGTGGCGATGGGCTCTGGCCCCACAGTCTGGAACAGCTGATTGGCAGTATTCTGGGAGGCTGATCCAACTGCCAATCAGATATTCGTGCTAAATCAGGCTGCGATAAGGTGCTGAAGCTGACCAGGCTGTTTGCTGTTTGCTGCAAGGACACTAGCCAGATGAATACCGATGGATGCTGGTAGGCAGAGGCAGAATTTTTTTTTTCCAAAAACTAATGTTCATTTTATACTCTGGAGCATCTTACTCTGAAAAATACAGTAAATCCTATGAAAATAACACTTAAGGTCTACTTCTGATCTTTGAACATGAGTTACCCTTCCAGGTGTGAGCATCCAAGCAAACTCACTGGCTGTCAGCAAAATAATAGATATCTACTAACAGTTCATTACTCCTTGAGAGAAAGAAGTTTGGCCACTTTGTCTTCTCTAGGAATGAGTATGAAAGATTCTGTATATACAGTGACTGACTCTAAAAAACGAAACTGGGTAACTCCATGTCTCCTTCCTTCCTTCCCGCTATCAGAACTTGTAGCAGACCTCCATCTTGTAAATATAAATGAGTCAGTTGGCACCAAAAGGAATACTTTGAAAGAACATACTTCAAATTATATAATCTATTGCATTTCAAGCTCCTCTGGACTGCTGATCATATTAATTATGGAAGCTCTTCCAAAGCAATTTCATTGTATTCATAATCCTCTTCAGAGAAAACAGAGCAATCTGTTTAATATATACTAGCCATAAATAATGTAGCTACCTATTTGCAATGTAACATTTCAGGGGATAAATAAAAAAGTATTTTAATGGCCATTTTAAAATAATATTGCCAGAGCAGCGGGTTATTAATATTTCACTTGGCCACAAATCTTCATAAAAATTAATATCTTGTATCTTTGGAAATAGCCTGCCAGCAACAGTGTTTGGGATGTAATGATTTAACCTTGTGAATAGAACTGATTAATAAGGAACTCTTCTCTGTGTTTCTTTCTTCTCTTCTGTTGCGAACACTCCCTGGGCCAGTTCCAGGAGGATCATCTCTACGGTCAAAAAAGAACAATCCATATAAAAACAGGGTGGTGGGGAAGCAGACTCAGCTATGAAATAATGAAGAATGTTCAGCTATATGGGAAGCATTTATCTGTAGCTAAGGCAAGGTTTGTCAGCCATTTTGAATCCAGAGTAAACATGAAGAGATTGGTGCAAATGATCATGGGTACACAGATTAAAACTATTCAGCTTTCTGCTCCCACAGCGGCCAAGCAAATCCTACAAGAAACCCACAAGTAGGACAAGAATACAAGAGCATTCTTCCATTCATGTTCCCTAGCAACTAGTACTTACAGACATACCAGAGGTAATCTATAGCCACAGTGACTAGATGAGATGAACTTAATGTTGCTGAGAAAATCTGTGTGTTGGGGATAGTAATCTAGAGACACAAAACACATATCTTTAACCTTCTCTTAAAGCCATGCCTACAGAAATAACAGGTTTTTGACATCTCCTTCTTCCAGTTAACACTGAGGTGATGCAACCACACCCACAAAGCTAGTGTGAATTAGTGACCATGTTGGGACTGGAGGAGGTTATGTATCAAAATCTGGACTGGGGAAGTAAAGAATAACCACTGTAAACCTTCTCTGGATTCTATTTTTCCCTAAATATACATGTCTAAATAATTGTGACTGCCAAGAAAAAAGAGATTTAAAATATATATTTCATAGGGAAAATAATGCCAAGCTAACATAACATATATATAACATAAAGAAATAACATAAAGAACATAAAGAACACTCATCACCCTCTATACAATTCAATCAATTCTGTAGCAGGGTGTTCATCAGCAATTGAATTGTCTAGGGAAAACAAGATTAATTTGATACATATTTGGAAAAACAAAGCACATTTCTAAGTTTCTATTTGCTAATATGCTTCTTTAAAGGCCCACATGTGTCAGACAAGACACATCTTTAAGATGTCACAACAATACATCTTTAAATGGTCCTCTTTGTATTCTCCTTATGCTTACAAGCATAAGCAAGAAATTATATGTACCCATCTTTAAGACATCATAACACCAAACTGTAATTGATAAAAATATATGATATGCCTATGTGCAAATATGGGTGTGATAATTTAAAGCAATGGGAAGGAGGCATTGGTTTTCTGGTTTCTCACATGGATGTATATTATAACAAAATATTGTAATGTGAACTGATTTTTATCCCAGAACAGGCTAAACATTCTGTTCAACAGGAGAAACCATAATATATAATGGGAAGAAAAACTACCAGCTCAGCTTCAAATACTTTATCGTTAGGGCATAAGTGGCTTTATGGCTTTAAATCAATGTGAAGGGCTCCAGAATGTGCTAACCAATGAGATTTCTAGCATAGCCCTGCTGGCATGATTTGTCTGTCAGAAATTCATAAGACAGTGTGTTTATAAAACTGCACATTCCCAAATTATCCCTTTCCATTTTTCTTGCCTTAAATTTATTGCTGGGAGGGAGAATCCCAGCAGCATCATTTTATCAGTGTCTTGCACATCTAAGCGTGTGTGTGTGCATTTGTGTCTAAATATATCCCACTTTGAATGGTCACACCCTCCCTTTTTTGTTCATGGCTTCAATATGCTGAGGGACTATTAAACGCTTTTGTCTAATGACATTACAACTTGTACTCTGAGCTTTTTCAAGACAGATGCTCCTTGATCACTCTTTTTCCTGGGAAGCCAGCTGAATGCCACTCAACAGCCTATTCATGTATCTTCTTTTAAAAGATACCGCAAAACCCCACATCAAGATTTTGCCTATATCTCACCTTCTGCTACCCGCTAACCATACAGAAAGAGCTGAAGCAGAAGTAAGAAAAATGCCTATCCCTTTCTCCTTTGACCATCAGAAACAGACAAGCTTGTCATTTTTGCTAGCAGAAATATTTGCTACACATCACCAGAAACTGCCTGCTCATCTGTGACTAACCGATGCACTGAACAAAATAAAGATGCAATTAAAAATAGCATTTAAAAAAAAAAACATTCAGTGCTGTGTCTTTTTTCCAAAACCAGTGCTGCCAGCTTCAGGAAAAGGGGAGGGGGCTGGGGATACTAGCGATCTTTAGAAAATGGCTCTTCCAGCTGAGGCAAACCCAGAAAGGGCTTCCACCACCATCACCACTCTGGCAATTGTAGCCGGGAACCCCAAAATAGGCTGAGATGGGCAATCCCGAGATAGGGAAAAAGCAAAGGGGGCTGATAACGGGCCGGGAGGAAGGTCTTGCAAATGGGAGATAATCCACCACCAAACCAAGGAAGGAAAAATCAGCCCAGGCGTATATATGGATGAACCCCGCTGGTTTAAAACCGGGCCAGGACAGATTATACCCTCAAAGACATAATACATATGGATATGTATGTGGGTGTGTGGAGGCCTCTTTTCTTTCTATCTTGCCCAACCCGGCTCGGGATACCTGCGCCGCCTCGGGGAGACTTAGCAACAAGTTGAGCCAACTTGAAAGGCGGAAAGCAGCACTTTCGGAGCGGTGGTGGAGAAAGGGGAGAGCGGGCGGAGAAGGGAGGGAGGCCGGTCAGCTCGCTCGCGAAGATGCTTACCACCAAGACTGGCACCCCCGCCGCCAACGAGTAGAGGAGCACGGGGGGCACCGCGCTGCTCTCCTCCGGGCCCGGGTAAGGCTTGCGGTAGGCGCTCTCGTAGCAGAAGAAGCCCTGCAGGTTGACCGTGAAGGTGTCGGTGTACTCGAAGTAATAAGCCAGCATCACGGTCCCTGCCATGATCACCATCTGGAAGTAAAGCATTCTGGTAGGAAGAGGAGGAGAGGGCACTGGCATGTACTCCGGCGGCCGCGGCAGCCCCCCTCCCCGGCTGCGCGCTCCGCCCGCTTCCCGGCGGCATCCACCGGGGAAGGGGGCGGCGGCTAGTCCCAAGCAGCAGCGGCAGCAGCGGCGACGGCAGCTGGAGGAAAAGCAGAAGGAGGAGGAGAAGGAGGAGCACCGGGCGTACAACCAAGTCCCCGGGAAGGGGAGAGGGCCGTCCCCCTCGCTGGGACCGGCAGCACGTGGAGCGGGAGCCCGGCCCCGGACAGCTGCTCTCGGAATGAGAGCGAGCACGTGCCCGGTCGCTGGCAGCGCCCCCCACCCCCGCGCCGCTCGAAGGAAGGAGGCGGCTCGCGTTCCGAAACTCCGCCGGGTTTTAGACGCCGCGATCCCGGCGCAGCGAGCGGGGGAAGGCGTGGGTGGGAGGTGGGGGAAGCCAACGGGCGAGGCGCCGGCCCGCTCAGGGGTTCCCGCGCGATCCTCTTTCTCAATGGGACTTTTGAGTGGGGGAAGCAAGGGGGCTGGCTCGGGCGCCGCCGCCTTAGCGCGGCGCCCCCGGGGACGGAGCGGGTACCACGGGTTCCATGCTGCGAAATCGCCTCCCTGGAGGGGAGAGTCGAGCGCTCTCACGAAATCGTGGGGGGGAAAAGGCAACAAGAAAAAAAAATCCCGGCTGATCCTGAGATTGGAGACCCAGCAACTCTTCTTCAAGGGCAACCGGGCCGGGTTTTTGTTTTGTTTTGTTTTTTTCCCCTCAGGAGGTGGCGAGGATTCGCCGCCGGCTTCTGCAAAGTTCCTGGTTCCCCCGGGGCGGATTCAGCTCTTCCCACCTCGCAGCCAAGCCTCTGTGCCTATGGGCTCGCCTCGGCCGCGATCCGCAATTCCGCGCTCGATCCCTTGCTTTGAAACGCGGCTGCGGAGGCAGCGCCGACGCCGTTTCTGAAGCTGCATGGGAGCTGAAGGGATGGGAAGAGAGGTGGGTGGGTGCTTGAAATTTCTCTCTGTTTGTGCCTGTCTCGCTCCCTCCCTCTCTTTCCCTCTCTCCCTCTCTCTCTCTCGCCCCCCTGCAAGGGATTTTGCTTTCAGTCTTAAAAAAACACACACACACACACACACACACACACACAGAGAGAGAGAGAGCAGAAGCAGTAACTCCCCAGTGCGTCAGTTGGAATATTTTTTTTTAATTTGATTTATATGCTGCCCTTCTCCGGAGACTCAGGGCGGCTTACAATGCGCTAAGCAATAGCCTTCATCCTTTTGTATATTTATACAAAGTCAGTTTATTGCTCCCACAACTGGATCCTCAATTTACCTACCTTAGAAAGGATGGAAGGCTGAGTCAACCTTGAGCCTGGCGAGATTCGAGCCTGCAGTAATTGCAGGCAGCTGGTCTTAATAACAGGGTGCTTTAGACCACTGTACTACCAAGGCTCTTCTATATGCGTGATCTCCTCCTCCTCTTCCTCCTCCTCCTCCTGCAACACCTACATGCTTGCAAACTCTGGCCTTGCTGCTGGATCCCAGTGTGTCCGGGACTAGCCTTTGAGAAGCAGAGAAGCATGCTTTTCTACTTGAACCCAGACCTGGGTTAAAAGCAAGGTAGTTTCCTGAGGAGGAAGTGGCTATATTCACCCATCGAACAGCCCAACCCCAAAAGCCACTGCTTCACTCCTTTGACCACTCTGCTAGGCAGATCTGCCTTCAAGATGCTCCAAGGAAAACCAGTTTGGATTATTTTTGCAAAATGTAAAAAAACACTGCCACAGAAGCAATCAAAGCGGGGCATTTAGTGCATCAGTTGAACACAAAAGTGTATGCACAATCACTATATAATTTACACTTAGCTATCGCATTGTGGTGCCCTCTCCATACAGATAGTCCTCAACTTACGACAATTGGGACCTGAATTTCTGCTTTTAAATTAAGTGGTTGTTAAGTGAATCACTGTTTTACAACCTTTTTTTTGCCATGGTTGTTAAGTGAAGCATACAGTTGTTAAGAAAATCCAGCTTCCTCCCATTGACTCAGCTTGTTAGTAACAGCTGGGAAGGTCAGAAATAGCAATCAGATGAGCCCGGGACAGTGCAACTATAATTTGTCTCCAACCTTCTTCAAACGATTTGCCTTATCTACCGCTAATAAGGGAAGAGGTGCTGGCACATAAGCCCAAGATGCACTTCAACCTCTTTGTAGAAGGAAGACAATTTCTGAGAAAACTAAAATATAAAACTTTGCAAACTAGACCAAAACATCAGTATGAAAATCTTTCCAATTCAAGGCCTCTACAGGAGAAATTTAATATTTGTTTTAATTGGAGTTATGTAGCTTGGAGAGGGTTTGTGAGTAATAAGTGAGTAACATCTCACTTATTCCAATATAAATATTAGCTTTAAAGTGTGCAAAATTTCTGACTCATTACAGTAGCTGATCGACTGATCTGTAAGTGTGGAATTGCAGATAGGATTTCGAATGGTGAGAAATGCAGACGTTGAGTAGCCTATATTAGCCAGAGTTATTAGCCACCTCTCTCCATTAGCGATTGGTTTACTAGGCTTATTTCACATGGATCACCTCTCCTGCCCCCACTGTGCTGGATACCACCTTCTTTCCCAGTTTCCCATAAGAAAGAGAACCTCTAGGCTTTCCACTGGGGAATAACAGATTTGGAAATACCTTGTAGGTCATCTAGTCCAACCCCCCACCCAAGCAGGAGACCCAACATCATTTCTGACAGATGGCAGTCCAGTCTCTTCTTGAAAGCTTCCAGTGATGAAGCTCCCACAGCTTCTGAAGGCAAGCTGTTCCATGGGTTGATTGTTCTCACTGTCAGAAAATTTCTTCTTATTTCTAGGTTGAATCTCTCTTTGTTCAGTTTCCATCCATTATTCCTTGCCTGGCCTTCAGGTGCTTTGGAAAATAGGTTGAACCCAGGGTGGTTTCTACTTACCTTTACCACCAGTTTGCAACGGGATCGCATGCACAGATCACGACATCAGGGGTGGTGGGCGGGGCCTCCTGCCAGTTTTACTACTGGTTCTTGTGAACCGGTCCCAACGGAGGGCAACCCACCACTGGTTGAACCCCTCCTCTCTGTGACAGTGCCTCAAAATTGGAACACTGCTATCATGTCTCTGGTCCTTCTCTTCACTAGACTAGCCATGCCCAGCCATGCCCTGCAAACATTCATCATATGTTTTAGCCTCCAGTCCCCTAAGAAGAAAGATTTTCACTCTTCTGCTTTAACAATACTTAGAAGGGATTTCTCTGCCACTTCTAATCCTGGGGATGCAAATTGAGTACAGATAGTCCTCGACTTATGACCACAATTGACCCCAAAATCTCTGTTGTTCAATGAGATGTTTGTTAAGTGAGTTTTACCCCATTTTACAACCTTTCTTGCCAGAATTGTTAAGTGAATCACTGCAGTTGATAAATTAGCAACACAGTTGTTAAGTGAATCTGGCTTCCCCATTGACTTTGCTTGTTAGAAAGTCGCAAAAGGGATCATGTGACCTTGGGACATAGCAACGGTCATAAATATGAACCAGTTGCCAAGCATCTGAATTTTGATCACATGATCATGGGCATGCTGCAAAGGTCATAACTGTGAAAAAATGTGACAATTTTCAGTGCTGTTGTAACTTTGAACGGTTACTAAGAAATGTGTTGTAAGTCAAATACTACCTGTACTTCTATTTACATAAACTTTGAATTGCACAGGCTCACCTTCGCACTGGTTAAGCAATGCCTTAATATAGAATATTCAAAACAGCTACTGTATACACATTTCTCTGTTGATTGTAAATGAGATGGAATACTGTGAGACTGATTTAGCTAAGGCCATCTAGCAAATTTGCCATTAAATCAGATTATAACTCAGGAATTTTTCCATTCACTTTATTACTCTCTTACCACCACTACCACATCAGTTTTCTAAAGTTTATATTCTTTGTTTTATAAGAAAAGGAACCGGTTTTATACTGGCTTCAGCAACTGGCAACAGAGTCAACTTTGGCTGACCTTGTAAAAATAATCAGAATCAGGTCTGGTGACTATTTGGATAATTTGGATCACTATCTGAAAATTCCAGTACTGTGGATTGGATTCAAGAGTTTAAAAGAATTTAATGAAGGTGGGAGCAAATCATAGTAAGGCCTTTGTTGTTGTTGTTGCAAAGTCATGTCCGACCCATCGCGACCCCATGGACAATGTTCTTCCAGGCCTTCCTGTCCTCTACCATCCTCTGGAGTCCATTTAAGTTCACGCCAACTGCTTCAGTGACTCCATCCAGCCACCTCAATCTCTGTTGTCCCTTCTTTTCCCCTCAATCTTTCCCAGCGTTAGGCTCTTCCCATTAGGTGGCCAAAGTATTTGAGTTTCATCTTCAGGATCTGGCCTTCTAAAGAGCAGTCAGGGTTGATCTCGTTTAGGACTGACCGATTTGATCGCCTTGCAGTCCAAGGGACTTGCAGGAGTCTTCTCCAGAACCATGGTTCAAAGGCCTCTATTCTTTGGCGCCCAGCCTTTCTTATGGTCCAACTTTCACAGCCATACATTACAACTGGGAAAACCATAGCCTTGACTATATGCACTTTTGTTGGCCTTATGATGGTCAAAATCTACCCTGCGTATGTATTCTCCAAGAGCAAAACCTGGCTCAGCCTTATATTGTTTTCAATCAGTGAGTTATTCAGATAGGAGATCAACTGAAGATTGCTACGGAAAATTGATGGAAAACATTCTGTCCAAATGTAGTGTTACCTAGACAAGCAATTTTAACAGAACAATAAAAAAATAAAAAGCCCAATGCTGCCTAGTGAAACCAGTTAAAGTTTTATTACACAATTGCTTAATTGGCACTAGAAGATAATATATGGGAACGGAACTTGTGGAATTGCAATACAAATGATAGATAGATTACCCCTATGGTTGGGCACACTTTCAGTTGGAAATTAAGTAGTTTCTGGGGGAATACAAATTGAGCAAGGCTGCACTATAACCTTATCTAATCTCGCAAGAGATTAATCCATTGTGAAAACAAAACCCAAATAACGAGTTCCTGTTTATGTATTAAATAAGGACAGGTTACATTTCCCCTAGGCTCTTTCAAATAAGGAAGAGAAGGGGAATTGCCTTGAATAAACCTGGTGGCTTGTTATTCTTCCTTGAAATGGATCTGGCATTCCGAAGCAGAACACCGACAGCTGCTGCCAAAAAAACCCAGCATCTCAGCTAGTTTTGTTAGATTCTCACACTTTAATATGCAGCAGCACATCTGTACTTCAAAACAGAAAGGGCAAACCTGAAAATATTCAAGCCATTTAAGTCAACTTCCATAGTGCTTAGCAATCACATAGAGGAACTTGACGCTGACGTACAGATGCTGGGTTTTTTGCTTACCATGTGTTGAAAAAGCAAAGTAGTTTTTATGGCAAGAAAAAAAAATATGCATTGAGACTGGTGCAGCCAATATTTCTAAAATATTTCTTATTCTAATATTTCTTTTAAAATGATTTGTTTTCAATGGGCCATTAAGGCCTGAGCCAGCTCATCCACAACACAAAAACATGGCCTCTAGCTCATAATAGGACCCATCTAGCAACAGAAACTCACCACCATGAGCCTTGGTGGCGCAGCGGACTAAAGTGCTGTTAAGTAGCACTTAGCTGCCAGCTGCCTGCAATTACTGCAAGTTCAAATCTCACCAGGCTCAAGGTTGACTCAGCCTTCCATCCTTCCAAGGTAGGTAAAATGAGGACCCGGATTGTGGGGGCAATATGGTGACTTTGTATA